GGAGGTAAAGGGTATATATAAATCGGATGCCCTGCTGCTGAAAGTGTTTTGCGACTCGGTGGTTTTTCTCTGTCACATATGTTTGCCACAAATTTCGTTAACGATTTAATTCCCTCTTCAGCGTGTTCATTAGCCACTGGCGCCTATTTGTGGCCTTCGCTTTCGAGATGGGACAGAAACCGGTGATTAGTCCGTATAATACGGCCTTAAATGCCGATCAATCCCCATGGACACACCCAGTGAATGCCTCCTTCCAGTCTAACCTGCACACTTCGGTTCTCATTTGATTAAAGTTTCCGTACCATATGTTGTGTCTGACGGTCGCGCTACGATCATGTACAGAGAGGAGTGAATACTCCCACTGTAGTACTACATGGTCGCTTTTGCCGAGAGTAGGTAAACAATTTACGACGTCTACACTGTCAGACTCTTTTGACAGTACAAGGTACAAGCAGTTGGGATGATGCCCTTCACGCCACTTGGTCGAAGATAAGACGTGTTGTGATTGAAAGGCTTGTTGTACCGTGCGTAGGAGTCGGCGATCGAAGCTTAATTCCGACCCGGTGGCAGAGCTGAAGTTCCAGGCGATATGTGGAGCATTAAAGTCGCCAATAATCGTGACATTGGATCGCACGGCAAATGCTTTAATTTCCTCTATCAAGCTTGTGCCTGACTGTGGGTCGTTCGAAGATGGTCGATAAACCGCCAGGAAGCTCACTGTTAGATGAATGGGGCCTTGCGCATATGGAAGGCTAAGATAAGCAGAAAAAGTCGCTGGCGCTTAGTCCTAAGAAGAAGTAGATATGAAAACCAAATGTTGGGGTCGTCGTGCTTTCGTCGATAGCCTTGTTTGCGAATGCGCCGGTCGGCTGGCAAAGCCTCATCAACCCCAACTTTTACGAGTGATTTCATGAGTCAAAAACGTCACGGAGACCGTTCTTCGCCTTTTGGCACAACTTGGAGTTGGAGGCTCTCACAGACCGGAGGCAACCATGAGTTGTCAGACGATGAGGCTTAAGGGCCCACTATACCGACAAGCAGCATGTGGAGTCGTTTATCAGTTCCATTACAAGTTGGGGCAAAGCAATTTCGTAGGAAAAACTGAAAGACTGCTCTGGACGCGAATTACCGAACACGCGACAGCACCACGGAAAAAATGATACCAGTACGCCGACGAGACCCAACCACGTATTCAAGTACGATGGGGCCAAAGTTACGGCAAGTGGAGACAATGGCGTGGGCCGCGAGTTGCTTGAGCCCTGGTTTACGGGACCCTGGTCGATTAACAAGTGTAAACACCGCCCCAACCCATGTTTGCTGATGAGACTTGGCTTGCCCGAATCAATTCACCACTCCAGGAAAGGCGGACACAGTTTTCAACGTGCGTTCCGATGGGCTAGATGGCTGAGCAGCAATCACGCCTAAAGCCAGCACGAGTGATGAAATGTCAGTAGGTTGTGATCCATACGCCGGCTACCGAGCAATTAGAGAGAAATCCTCCTGGACGGCCACAAAGCGTGTCTCCCCTTCGTATTTCAATGCCAATAGCCCCCAACGTCATTTTTCTGCACGTGGCTGTTCTACTCGCTGACCTGAGGAGCACTCAATCGATATTCAGTCGCACACACGTACGCGCACACGCGTGCCCAAGTAGTCGCAGTTTCTCAAGGACCACTTGCACGCACCAAGCCGCGACCACGCAGCAGGGTGCCTCTACAGTCGACAACCTCTCCGGGCAATTGCAACACACCAATAGCAAACCACTTGAACTCCCTTCGCAGCCATGCAAAAGCAGGTGTCATCACCTCACACAACATTCAGTCGAATCTCTCGGACACGACTAGACGCAGTCAACGCCAGCCCTGGCTTCGCCAGCGACCACTGCTGCCTGACGCAGCAATATAGGGTTCTGTGCACACGAAAGCCCTCATTCCGGTGTCTTCTGCCTTTTACCTTAAACCAGGGATTCGATCTGATAATTGTAGTGATCCGAGTACAACCAAGGCTAGACTGCCACAGCGATGCAGTAGCGTAATTAGTGCATCATATAAGTAAAGTCATTCCCTATGTACGAGGTACCACCCATCTCTAATGCTGGCTCTCTGATTATGGGTTCAAGAGTTAATCCCGCACCTCAGGTTAATAGAGTTCATTATCAAACGATCGCGTTGTACTTTTTATAAGCTTGAAGCTGAATCCCAAGAAATTTTTTAGTTGCGACAGTTTGCCAGATTTTAAACGAACCTCTTTCTGACCGGCTGCAGAACCAGTATTCTGAATAAAATGCCTCTTAAGTGAACATTATGACGACCCTTTACATTTAAATATGTATTATAGAAAACATGTACCCATACATCCGTTCTTACGCTCATTCGGTAGCAAATCACGCCTTCTTTCATTTTTTAACTTCAACAAAGAATATTTATTGGTTTTTAAAAATGTTTGTAATTATGGGATTTTTTCATAAATCGTATACTTCAATTCAGTACTATTGCCTATAAATCATACAACATGATCTAAACATTTGAAGAAAATGTTCTTTGGGATAAAAAGTAACTTTAATGAGTGCATTTTCGAGTTTGGCGCCCCAACTCGTCTTCGGACTAACAGAAAAAGTGCAATGAACAAATAAAATGTCAAAACTGCCGAAAAGATCAATAGTTATATAAGGTGAGACGTAATTGGTAGGTGTGGTCTCAGTTAGCCTCTGTCGTGCGGTCTCTCTCTCTTTTCCATCGTTTTTTTTGAAGCGCTTTTAAATACTATCCAACTGTACATGCCGGTTGATGCATGAATCGTCGGAGTGCATGGCTTCGAGGAATTCTCGGCCATTTTTGGAGAGGCAAACTCTGACGATGCGTGTTTTATCCCATGCAAAGGTGTGTCCTGTGTCGAGGCAATGTATAGCAACTTCGGACAAACGGTCACGCCTTCTTGCGTGTTGATAGTTTGTTGAACAACCTGCAAGCTTTTATCTGCTGAAATTTCATCACGCGTGGTGGACTCGGGCGTAATGATTGCTCGGCCATCTGGCCACCCAGTGTTGGCGTAGAATGTCGCGGTGGCCTGTCCATTCCCCAAATGGCGACGTGATTCGGCCAAATTGAGTCTCAGCACCGAATTTGAATTGGGTAAATAGTTGCACTTGTTTATTGATTGGGGCCCGTGAACCATGACTCAAGTAATTCTCGGATCATCCGATTGTCACCTCATCAAATTTGAATGGATGGCTGGGTCTCGTCGAATGAGCCGCAACTTGAGAATTAGCATTACTTCGCCGCACCTGCCGCGTGTTCGGCAATTCGCGTCCTGAGAAGTCTGCCAGTTTCTCCGACAAAGTTGCTTTGCCCGCAACTGCACCAGATCCTGTAGACGACTCCAGACGTTTCTTGCTGTGGCAGTGTGTCTTTCTCTCTGACGCTTTATAGTTGCCTCCAGCCTGTATGTGACTCCAAATCCAAGTGGTGCGAGAAGGCGGCCGACAGCCTCCGAGAAGTCAGCAATTTTGAAAATCGCGGAATTTTGCTTGCAACACTCGCCATACTGTATTTGAGTTTTGTCCCAATACATCGCATTCCTAGTGAACACTAACCACGCCTATTTTGCGAGACAGGCTACCGTTTGGCTACTGCCCTGTGAATACCAGGAGATCCCGCGTCTTTACCCGCAGTGTTCATCCGCCTACACCGCTGTGCGGCGGCTGGCGGGGCTCAAGCGTGATCCTGCAGGCCGAACGGGATGGTTGTGTGCCGTACGCGATCGATGAGCGCTTATTGACGCAAGACGGGTTTATACTTAAGGCCCCGTCACCTCACCCGATCCGTGCTCGAAACATAACACCCCTTATAGCAATGACAGTGCGATTCGAACTCTAATTTTCTCGCCTCTTTCAACCTCACAATTGATTAGTTGTCGGGTCCTCTGCGCTAGTGTAAGTAAAGGTGCTAGCCAATAAGTGCACAGCTGCCTACCTGCGAGTAGATTATCGATTCCACTGCAGGTTCAGCGGCCGGACAAAGTGCTTGCGTCTCACATTATTTGCTTGCCTGGGACTCTGCAGCCTGTTGTTGAATTAGTCTTCCCTCCTAGACCTCCCCTCCCGGCGCCCCAAGCTTAACACCCAAGGAGCGTCGCTGCGGAATTCTTTAACTAACGCAACTCTTTGCATATGCTGACGAGGCAACAGTAGTCGCAAAGAATATGATCCGAAGTACAGAGCATTGGCCGTGACCCTGGAGTTACCTAACAAAGCTCATAATGGGGCGCTAGAGACTCACCTCCGGGTTGACCGCACCTAGAACATCAGACAGCTCGTTAAAGGTGTTCTGCAGGGCGGCTACCGTCTCCAGAGCACGTTTTGTATCGTTCCGTATGTCATCGTCACGGTGGCCAGCCTTTGTTTCAGATTCATTCCTGGCCGCGAAGATGCCTTTCCGTTTCGAGTCCTTCAGTCCAAATTTGGAATTTTCCAGAGCCATGCGCACGGTAAGTACGTTCTGACGCAGGAAGTCTAACGAGCAGCACTTCTGCCAGCTGATAATTTGCCTTTCGTAGCGTCTGCTATCTGCTTTGCGACCTTAAAGTGCAAAAAGGTAAAAATCAATTGCGTAACTCGTGAAATGGCCAAATCACAGTCTGAGGTGGTAGCATGGCACATGCAGTACGGCCTAGAATTCGTATAACAGGCCCACGTATACCAATGATTAGTAAGCTTTCGCTAATCGGCATTAGGTAAGGTTGTGATGCTTATTATCGTGTAGCCCATTCTGAAGTCATTTCAGTCACGATAAGATGCCGG